ATAAGATAAATGTAATCGGGAAGGTAAAACGGAACTTGACCTCAAGTCAATTATGGATATCCTATGGGGATGATGCACTAATATATTGAGTCATGGACTAGAGCTAATCAGAGCTTTGTAAATACGCTATATAAATCGAGAGTGCAGCTCTAGGCTTTTAGTGGAATAGCGCTAGAGTTTTATAATCATGAGACGGACTTGTTGGTTTACAAGTAGCGTTGTGATTATAGGAGCTTGATTTATATATGTCCATCGGGTCCCTTTGCTAGCTCACATAATTTCCTGTAACGATACGGTGTATTTCCTACACATTGGTAACTTGTGTTATTTCCGTAAAAGAGGTTCAAAGTTAATTCAAGGGTGATTTATCGGGTCAATTAATTGAGAAATTAATTCTAGATAAATTGGTTGAATTATTATTTTAAGAGTTGTTTAATATGGGAAGACTATTATATGACTGTTTTGATCAGGCAATTTCTCTATTGGGTTGTTTGAATCAAAACTGAGGCTCTATGCAAGTTTCCCGTATTGAAAAACTAGGAAAAACAACTTTCGTCAGTGCAGACAGGTCGACCGGTTGGGTAGACCGGTCACAGGTCGACCGGTTAGTGAAGACAGGTTGACCGGTGAGTTATAACGTTTCTGTCACCGGTCGACCGGTTGTAACGTAAAATGCATGACGACATGGCAAAATCGACTCTGGATGCGATTAGAACTTTGGAAAACCTAAGTGTTACGAAAGTATGACTTCCTAAACACTATAAATAGCCTATTAAGTCACATTACTCATTAGATCACTTGAGAGACTTTTTGGAGGCTATTGATAAAAGATTCCTGAGAGGAAAAATTGTTTAATTCTCAAGAACAATTTTTTCTTTGGTTCTCTTGTGATTGGAAGGAGATCAAGAATACCTAGAGGAGATTAAACGACGTGTGCCCACCCGTACACCGATTGTGGAAATGAGAATAGCAAAGAAGACCAGTTGGTTGAGGCTCTTCCAGTTGCCGTTTGGAACGCTTCGATCTGTCAGACGTGCAGTTTCCTGAAATCTCAAAAGGTATGTTTTAGATCTTTAGTATTTATGTTATATAGCATCATGAACATGTTCTTGTTTGGCTTTGACGTTGATTAAAATTTTAAAATTCCGCTGCGCACTCGATGCCATTAATTTTCCAACAACAGTATCATCCAGGAAAAGCTAATGTGGTAGCTGATGCCCTTAGCAGGAAGACCTCGGGAACTTTAGCATCATTAGCTCTGGAAGACTGGAAGGGGAATGAGGTTGTGAGCTATTATGACCTCTAGTATCACGAGGATCATCACCAGGCAATAGTGTATAATCTGATCTCCGCACCGGCCCTTGTGCAACAAGTCAAGCAGAATCAGTGGTAGAACATTCATCTCCAAGGAATTTGGATTCAAATCCAAAATGGAGAGCATCTTGAGGATTGGAGAATCTGAGAGGATGAGATGTTGTACTTTCGCGACCGCCTAGCTGTTCCTAAAGTGGATGAGATTAAGAAGGTGATTCTGCATGAGGCTCACAAATTGAGGTACGCTATTCATTCGGGAAGTACCAAGATGTACCAAGACCTGAAGAGACAGTACTAGTGGAGAGGCATGAAGAGAGACGTTCGTGAGTACGTCTTAGAATGTGTAACTTGCCACCGGATTAAAGCTGAACATCAGAAGCTAGCTGGAGAGTTGCAGTCTCTACCTGTTCCGGGATGGAAATGGGAGCACATCATGATGGACTTTTTGATGGGACTACCGAGGACTGAGCACAGGCATGATGCCATCTGGGTGGTGGTGGACAGGTTGACGAAATCTGCGCATTTCATACCGTTTCATGCGACGTATTCTCGGAAGGTTCTGGTTGAATTGTACTTGGAGCATGTCGTCAGACTTCACGGAGTGCCGTTGTCCATCACGTCCGATCACGACACTCATTTTAACGCAAGGTATTGGAAGAGTTTCCAGGAAGCCATGGGAACCGAATTGAATTTTAGCACAACATTTCATTCCCAGACTGATGGGCAATCTGAAAGAGTTATTCAAATTCTGGAGGATATGCTTCATGCTTGTATTCTGGATTTTGGCGTGAACTGGAAGAAATACCTACACCTTGCTGAGTTCGCATACAACAACAGCTATCAGGCCAGTATCGGTATGGCACCGTTCGAGGCTTTGTATGGTCATCCGTGTAGATCACTTGTCTGTTGGTTGGAACTTGAGGATCGACTCACTACTAGACTAGAGGTTGTCCAAGAGAACAATGAGAAGGTAGCTGTGATTTAGGAACGACTATTAAAATCTCAGACTCGTCAACAGAGCTATGTTGACAGAAGGTGTAGGCCTTTGGAATTCCCAGAAGGTGAATTCATTATGCTGAAAGTGTCCCCACGCAAGGGAGTTGTTCAATTTGGTGTGAAAGGAAAGGTTGCGCCAAGGTATATTGGACCCTTTCTGATCGTGCAACGAGTCGGTGTTGTGGCGTATCGTCTTACCTTGCCGCCTGAGTTATCTCACGTGCATGACGTGTTCCATGTCTCTATGCTTCAGAAATCTCAACCTGATCGAGAAGCTGTAGTGCAATGGTATGACGTTCTGATACAGTATGATGCGACATACGAGGAGGCACCAATTTAGATTCTTGACCGGAAGATGAAGAGTTTGCGTCATCGTGAGATTCCGTTAGTGAAAGTGTTGTGGCAGCACCATGGAGTTGAGGAAGCGACATAGGAGCTTGAGACGACGATGCAGGAATAGTACCCGCATATGTTTCCACTGTGAGGTGAGTTCTAATTTCGAGGATGAAATTTCCTTAAGGGAGAAGAGTTGTAACACCCCGAAGAATTAAATGTGATTAATTGAGGTAATTAAGATTTTCTAGTGTGCCTAATCTGATTTAATTAATTGGGTTTTGATTAATAAATGTTTCTGATGTGTAATTTAAATAGTTCCAAGGTATTTAAATATTCTCAGTATTTTATTTTAACCCAGAAGTGTGTATGGGCGCATTTCTGGACTGTTCTTTTAAAATGTTGACACTTGTCCATTTTCTTTTCTTTGTCTTTTTTCTTATCTTTCTTTCTTTCCTTTTCTCTTTCCTTTCCCATGCATACACACATACACACACACACTCTCTTTCTCTCTCTCGTTCCCTCACTCACTCTCTTCTATTTCACTTCAAAATCAACCCGAATTTCGAACCAAAGGAAAGTTTCAAGAAGTTTCAACGTCAAGAGAAGGATTCAAGGTAAGATTTTTGAAAAACCTCTATTGAAATCTCAAGTTTTCGGATTTAAAAGCTTGTTTCTGGTTCGAAATAGATTTTAATGCATATTTAGTAAAACCATGGTAGAAATTGGAGATCTTGGGTTCTTTGGACTTATTTTAGGACCTAGAACCCGGATCTTGTGGTATTGCTTTGAAATATGTCAATTTGGAACTGAAATCGCAGGTTTTTGGGCTGATTCGGCGGGTTTTCTTCGCCTATTGTTCTTCATAGGTCGACCTGTGAGTCGACTGAACTGGTTAACCAGATTGCATTAGGCTACCGGTCGACCTATATGGTCAACCGAATTGCACACCACCGGTCGACCGGTGGTGTTGCACTGCTCTGTCACCGGTCGACCGGTGTACACGGAGTTTAACCTTGTTGGGCCTGAAAATACTGTTTTGACCTTTCGTTTTCGAAGAGAACCCAAATTAGCTTCATTTGGGGACCCAGAGTAAATGGATTAACATCTTTAATCCATGTTTTGGAATTAAAATCCTTGGAATGATGATTTGAAACATGAAATTGATTATGGCACACTAATAGGAAATCAAAGGGATATGATTGAGTGTGAATTACTTTAGGAATGAGATTGGGATCCTAAAGTATTGTCTTGTAACAGTGATAGCTGAGGACTCGGATTAAGTGGCTTGAGGAAGCGGAAGCTGGAATCGTGCACCGCTAGCCACAGGTTTGATAATCACGAGGTAGGATTTCTTACCCTTTTTCCTTGTGAGCCTGATGTTCAAAAAGAGTTTTGGCCTTGCAAATGTTTTAAAGAAAGGGGCATGTTTGCGAAAGAAAAAATCTTTAAAAAACCGTGGCTTGTTGTAGTTCACAGAACCCATGGCTTATTGTAGTTCATGGGGACCCACAGCTTGTTGTAGTTCGTGAGATTATAATAATGATTTCATAAAGTTTAATGAATGATTTCTTAAGGAAAGAGATCTTGCGAACCGGTAAGCCCGCTGATGGCCTAGATAAGATGTGGAGAGTGCATCCTTGGGAGCAGAACCTGAAACTCAGTCCGGGAAGGCTTGTGCACTTGGTTGTGTAAGTAATTTGTATAAATTAGTTGCTGATGCATGTAATACGGTGATTTTCAGTTACATTTCCTTTGAGAAAAATGATGTGAGGTTCCGGCTGTTCTGTTGGAACTGAATGTCTTATTTATTCACTTATTCATTTATTTATTTAACGCTTTCTTATTTATTTATAAAGTTTATTTCAAATTATATCCTACTGGGTCTTTCGTTCATGTTTTATTATTTTAAAAATGTTAACCCCTCCCAAGAGACTCTAGGAGAAGTGCGGGGTAGCTGAGTTGCTACCATCCGGTTGAGAGAGGATTGTATTCATCCTCCTGTGAGTACAAATGTAAGAATTTGTAAATTCTGCAAATTCTGATATTCGGATATCTAGACTGCGGTTGATGTCTGTAATTGTAATGTTTTATTTACATGTCATGTATGTATGGTATCGAGATCCTGTGGAAAGATCATGTGATTCATTTTAATCGAGTAGGGGGGGCTCATTGGGAAGTTCCTTTGTTTTCATGCGCTTAACCCCTAATCGAGCTCCACGTTATTGACCCCTGATCCGGGGCGTGACAGAATCCTGATCGTAGGCTATATTTATAGTTGGATTTGAATAATCGGGCGTGGTTCTATTGGTCTGGTATTACATTTTTCAATCGCTTCTGGTACCACAGCAATTGGGCCTGTCTTTACACCCAAGTTGTCCATCATGATGGGTTTGTTTTGCACCATTATGTGTTCTTGTACTTGTTGCTTATTACTTTTCCATACAGTGTGTGACCGTAAGCATAAATCAGCGGAATAACGTTGTAACTTGTAACAGGTAATTAACAACGGAATTACGTGACTCAGTCATAGCAAATCATTTCCAACTTGGTCAATGTTGATTCATTAACTTTCAAATACTATTTTCGGGTACGTCCCTAAAAATGCTTATACCTATTAAGTAAAAACAAAAACACTTGTAGACTCACCATATTATTTGTGCGTGTAACAGAATTTTGCTGAAAAACGACTGCAAACTGAGATAGAATTCTCCAGTGAATAGTTTACACCAGAACAATGAATACTGAAAAACGACTGAAAACTGAGCCAGTGGCCCTCCTGTTTCAGAATAATGAATAATTTACACCAGAACAATTACACTTTCCACTTTAAAAACGTTAAAAAGTTAGGGCCGTGCTTTTTTATCACGAAAATTCAACCTCTTGACCATTTCCACTTTAAAATCGGTGGTCGCAATTTTTTTGGCATATATTTTCAGCAAAAGGCAGTTTTCTTTCCACTATAGATTTTACTGCTTTCCTTTGTAAATCAGGATCCTTTTACGCATGATATATTTCGCATACCTTACAAAAGATATTCCGTTACATTGACATCTGCAATTCTTCTGCACCAAAGGAAGAAAGAAAAAAATATATCTACGTTTGTGAAGAAGCGTAAAATAATTCGGCGGTGGTAAAGACGTACGGAACAGTACACTTTTTTTTTTTTGCTGAACAATAATTAATTTCCACCTACTTCGGTCTTGATCTTTTGAATAACGAATATGCGGTGCTCAGTTACTTCTCACACATAATTATCTTTCAAAGATCTAATGAACAACAATTCATCTAGTACTTTTTTATTTCTTTTTTATTTTTCTCCTTTGTCATCTTTCACATCAATTCCAGCAAAATTTACCAGTTCACAGTGATCCTTTGCGACATAACAATGAATTAGATATTATTTACCTTTTCAATTTCTCAAGTTTCAGTTATAAAGGAAAAAAGGACGTGAGAGGTGAGGAAGAGAAAAGAAAAATCAAGTTTAATTAAGATATCATGAGAGAATATTCCTAGAAGAATTATGAGAAGTATAGAGAAATGTTAGCGTCATTTTTCTGTCACTCACTTCCTCACTTTTTACATTTACTCTTTAATATGAGGATTCCACTATTTTATTTTCTGTTTAAATATTAATACATCATGTTAGTGCAGTATGCGGACAAAAAAAGTGCCCGAAAGAGTGATGTCAAACTATACATCAATGTTCTTGCATGTTTTCAATAAATAATATCACGCCCGCTTTCGTCCTAATTTTAATTTGGCTTGCTTTCCATTTCCGTTTTTTAAGATGAAAAGACTTTCGACAGACATTCATGGAGTATATGTGATTCACTTATTGAAATTTAAAAGGTCCCATAGATTAATTACATGAATATATACTGAAGTGTACTCGTGATCATGAGGTTTCCCAACCACCCACACTGCTCAAGAGAGAAATTAAGGTTTCGTTTGGTAGGATGGTTTAAATCAGGGTGATTCTAATTTTAATTTTGAAACCTGAACCATAATTCATAGTTTTGGATCCAATCATGATTCTAAAACCATAACCAGAATCAGGAGCTTGAACCACTCAAAACCAAGGAGGATGTAGTTTTAAAACCATGGGTGGTTTTGGTTTATAACATCACATTAAGTTCAAACCTTGAACCAGAAGAATTCAAACTAAACATTAGTTTTCAAACCTTGAACAAGAACTATTTTTTACTTTTTGCAGACAAACAATGATTTGCACCAGAATCATGATTCTAGTTCTAGTACCCTCAAACCAAACGCTACCTAAAACAACAAAGTAATTACTACGGTATGTCAACTGCTACCTATGGAATCAAGATCTTTTGTCCCATATTCTTTTCTCAATGGTTTTCCCTACAATTAAATTTTGACAACTCATAATTTGTTTAAGTCTTTTTAGTAATTTGTTTCTATTTATGCGATTAGATTTTTAAATTTAGATGAGATAACATAAGTGAAGAGACAACCACCGAAACAAAAAAATAAAGATAGCAGATCTGGACTTCTATCTATGTGCCTAAATTGTATGCAGTAATTCCTCGCCTTGAAGCTTAAGAATATATCGATTTTTGGTTGGTTCTCTAGGTATGTAGGTATTTCTGTTTTCTTGCAGAGAATTCTAAACCAAGAATACTAATATAATATAATTTTAAAGTAAAAAAGTATGACGATTTAATGAAATTTGATGAAGATTTTGACCATTTAAAATTGTATCTTAATAATAGTGTTTTTTCATAACCTACCACCAAATTTTATTATATATATAGTGTTGTGATAGCAAAGGAAAAATTAATTTTGAATAGTAAATGAATATTCTCTTTGTTTTAAAGCTTCTTTTAGATGTTACAATTATATATATATATATATATATTGCAAATTGTCTAAGGGTGTCTGGCCTAAAGCTAACCAATTAATTAATTAATTCAACGACAATTGGTATTGGTGTGAGCTAAACGGAATTGATGGGCCTTTCTCTTTGTAGCTTATGTATTC